CCCTTCGTGGGGGTTGGTGGGCCGCCGGCGGGGGGGGGGGAGCTTTAGCCGCTGTAGGCCACGGCCTGCTCGTAGGCCTTCAGGTCAATCTTGTGGCTCTGCTCCGAGGACATCAGGTTGGTGATGGAGAAGGGGTGATTGAAATTGTACTGAGGGTCCATTTTGAGGTCGTTCGGGAGGTCCAGGCTGGCGATGGAGGGGGGGAAGTAGTGGCTATTCATGGGCTGGGCGAGGGGGGAGGCCTTGGGGGCCGGGGGGCCACGGCCTGCTCGTAGGCCTTCAGGTCAATCTTGTGGCTCTGCTCCGAGGACATCAGGTTGGTGATGGAGAAGGGGTGATTGAAATTGTACTGAGGGTCCATTTTGAGGTCGTTCGGGAGGTCCAGGCTGGCGATGGAGGGGGGGAAGTAGTGGCTATTCATGGGCTGGGCGAGGGGGGAGGCCTTGGGGGCCGGGGAGGAGCCTTGCACGCCAGAGCAGTCCAACTGGACAAGGCCCCTGTGCTCCTCAGAGCCGTGGGAGGCGTCGGAGTGGCCCGACTCGGCCCCTTCCGAAGCTGGGTTGGGGCTCTGGCCTTCCTGGAGCCGCTCAGGGTGTTTGGGAGCTGGCTCCTGGGCGCCGGATGTCTTGACGTTGGGCTTCTTGGCCTTGTCTTCCAGCTTGAAGCGCTTCTGGCGCCGCAGGTAGCAGCCGTTCTCGAACATGTTGCCGGAGTTGGGGTGCAGGGCCCAGTAGGAGCCCTTGCCCGGCTTGTCCGGGGAGCGAGCCACCTTGACGAAGCAGTCGTTGAAGGAGAGCGAGTGGCGGATGCTGTTCTGCCAACGTTGCTGGTTCTCCCGGTAATACGGGAAGAGGTCCATGATCCACTGGTAGATCTCGTTGAGGGTCAGCATCTTGCTGGGGGCCTGCTGGATGGCCATGGTGATGAGGGAGATGTAGGAGTAGGGGGGCTTGGCGTGGGTCAGCGTGCGCCGGTACGATTTGTTGACCTCCTTGGGCCGGCTGATGCCTGAGGCGGGGTACCCCAGGGGGGCCAAGGGCTGGCTCATGTTTGGGTAGGGCGCCAGGGAGCTGAGGGTGGGCGCCTGAGCCCCCAGCGGCGTCAGCACCGGGCTGACAGGTGACGTCACGGTGGGCAGGCCCATGGAGCTGGTGGGGCTGCTCAGCCCGGGGAGGGAAGGGCTGTTGAGGCCTCCGCTGGGGTAGCTCATGTTGATGGAGCTGGGGGAACTGAGCGAGTTGAGCGTCATGTAGGAGTTGATGGTGTTCATCGGCCCCAGGGTGGAGGTCATGGTGCTCACGGACGGATAGACCTAGGGGGAGCCAAGGGACAGGGTTAGCCACGCACAGGGGGGTCTTGCTTCAGCCTAGCCCCGGAGTGACCTACTCCCGGGGGTTGGTTATGTGAGGCGATAACTCACACCCCAAGGGCTGGCTTCTGCTCTCAGCCACACGAGGGGCAGTGTGGACACAAAGGAGTCGCTCCTAATTTGCACCAGTGTAATCAAGGGCTGGATTTGCCCCCAAAGGGAGGCGTTGTACCAGGGAGGGTGTACAGATAGAGGGCTGTTTTCTGATCTTCTCTAAACTGGAGCGAATCTGGATTCAGTCCAGTTACACCAGGCCAAAATCTGGTTCTAATACTACGGACTTCAGTGGAGACATTCCAGAGTTACGCCCGTGGAAGCTGCAATCAGAACCTGGGCCTTCTTCCCTTGACGTCAGGAGTGACTCCAGATTTACACCAGGGTCCCCGCCGGCCCAAGAAGCTGAATCCAGCCCCTCCGCTCCCAAGACCGCCATTTCTCATGTGAAAAAGCGCCTTCTTTTATATCCTGAGCCAACCGGCTCCTTCTCCTTCTCCACGGCCGGAGGAACAGGAAGGCCACACGCCCAGTGTTTTGTCCCCTTCTCGGGTCACCTTTAAAGCCGAGCGTATTAAACAAACAGCTTAAGACCAGACCAACTAGAATCAGGTGTAAGAAGGACGCCTGCTATTTGCTCTAGATAGGGTGTAATGGAAAGGCCTGCTGAGCCTCCTTTACAAGCGCTGCCCGGCTGCCACGCAATGCGGTTGGTGCCACTTCGCTCGCTCACGCCGCGTGTTTGCTGCCTGGGTTGTTGAGTGTTGCTAAGTTCTGCTCTCCCGGGGCCTGGCTGCAAGCCTGGAAAAGCTGCCATCGATCCCGATAGGGGTTCAATTAGGCTCCCAACCCAGGAAGAAAGCTCAGCCTGCCACAGCCAGCCCTGTGATCTCCCAGTCGCTCCTGAACTGAGCCCGACCACCTGTGTTTGCCTGAAATGTCTTCCAGGAAAGCCTGCAGGCTGCTCTCCGAGACACCAAGCCCGGAAAACCCACCTCTTCCCAGTCAGTGTGTCCCCACAGTCGGTCACCCGATTTCCAGTTGGTTCTGCCTTTCTTACAGGGTTTCAGGGCCTGGTGTTTTCTCTCCAGGATGATACTTAGACACTGATCAAGTCACAGAACCATAGACTCCTAGGTCTGTGAGAAAAGGTCAAGTCCAGCCTCCCAGGTCACCTCCCCAGCCCGGACTCTTCCCATCTGTTGCCTTTTCCCCAGCCCCTGCTTGGTTTTGTGGCTTTTCTTGCGCCCTCACCAATTTGCCAGCCTCCCTTTGAAAACGCACCCCCCAGAGCTGGACGCAGGCGCTGGGTCAGTCTCGCGAGTGCTGGCTACGGAGGAGAAATCCCTCTCTGCCGCTCTGAGACCCTCTGCTGGAAAGCTCGGGGTAGCCAAGGCATTGTCTGGGGGTGAACAGCTCAGGGGCATGTGGAAAGCCAGCTGCTGACTTGGCGGGGGCAGGAATCAGCCTCGAAGGTTTTGGAGAAAGCAAATGCAGCCAGGAAATAGCCCGGGAGGGGCTCTCTGCTCTGTAAAGGTTGTGGGGCCCTGTCACCTGACAGCAGCCTTATAGCAATGAGAGAGACACGGGAGGGGGGATATGGGGACAGACAGACAGATAGATAGATGAGAGTGTGTATGGGGATAGACAGACAGACAGTTTGGCTGTGTCTAGACCGGCAAGTTTTTCCGGAAAATCATCTGCTTTTCCGGAAAAACTTGCCAGCTGTCTGCACTGGCCGCTTGAATTTCCGGAAAAGCACTGACCATCTCATGTAAGATCGTCAGTGCTTTTCCGGAAATACTATGCTGCTCCCGTTTGGGCAAAAGTCTTTTTCCGAAAGACTTTTGCGCAAAAGGGCCAGTGTAGACAGCATAGTACTGTTTTCTGCAAAAAAGCCCTGATCGCGAAAAAGGCGATCGGGGCTTTTTTGCGGAAAACCGCGTCTAGATTGGCCACGGACGCTTTTCTGCAAAAAGGGCTTTTGCGGAAAAGCATCCTGCCAATCTAGACGCACTTTTCCGAAAAATGCTTTTAACGGAAAACTTTAAAAGGATGTGTATGGGGATAGATAGACAGACAGATAGATGAGGGTGTGTATGGGGATAGATAGACAGACAGACAGATAGATAGAGAGATAGATAAGACTATGGATGGGGATAGATCGATGGATAGACAGACAGATAGATGTGTGTACGGGGAAAGATAGACAGACAGAGAGATGTGTGTACGGGGAAAGATAGACAGACAGAGAGATGTGTGTACGGGGAAAGATAGACAGACAGAGAGATGTGTGTACGGGGAAAGATAGACAGACAGAGAGATGTGTGTACGGGGAAAGATAGACAGATAGATGAGGGTGTGTATGGGGATAGATAGACAGACAGACAGATAGATAGAGAGATAGATAAGACTATGGATGGGGATAGATCGATGGATAGACAGACAGATAGATGTGTGTACGGGGAAAGATAGACAGACAGAGAGATGTGTGTACGGGGAAAGATAGACAGACAGAGAGATGTGTGTACGGGGAAAGATAGACAGACAGAGAGATGTGTGTACGGGGAAAGATAGACAGACAGAGAGATGTGTGTACGGGGAAAGATAGACAGATAGATGAGGGTGTGTATGGGGATAGATAGACAGACAGACAGATAGATAGAGAGATAGATAAGACTATGGATGGGGATAGATCGATGGATAGACAGACAGATAGATGTGTGTACGGGGAAAGATAGACAGACAGACAGATGAGGGTGTGTATGGGGATAGATAGACAGACAGACAGATGAGCTGAGAGGAAGAAGCCCTTGTTCAAACAGAGCTATTTGACATTGACACGGCACCAGGAATCCAGAGTAGGGCTCCGGGAACGTGGAGGTCTGAAGGGACTGAGGTGAGGCAGCTGCAGCTGCCTGCGTGGCCGAAGGGGTGGCCGGGCCCTGTGCGTGAGCCCTTGGGATGGCGCCGGTTTAGACACAGAGCAGTGAAAGCAGCACAGCCCCTCGTGTGGCCGCGGCCCCTTCGCCTTCCTGGCAGTGTTGCTTTTCCCTGGGAGCCTCGTTCTAGCAGAATCCAACGTGCCTTTCCGCCCAACACAAGCCAGAGTCCTGAAACTTCCCAAATCGACGCCCCACCCCTGTGCCCCCAAACGCTCTCACACCTTTGAAACCGTCATCCAAAATTCCCAGGGCTCTTCCAGCCCTCCTGTGCTATCTAATTAGCCCTCCTTGTGAAGCGGGAGTCACTAGTCCCATTTCCAGGGTAGGGAAACTGAGGCACGGAGTGGGCTGGTGGGAAATATTCACGGAAGCATCCAAGGAAGCAGGTGGGTCACAACAGACCCCCGTCTTATGCTTTAACCAGGAGGGCTTGCTCCAGGGCACCCTGTTCTCTCACTGGCCTGGGTGCAAAGTGGCGTGAAAAGCTACCAGATTGGAGCAGCCCATGTTTGGAACCCGCTTGGCCCTGGTAAAAGACGTCGTGTCAGTGGGATGGAGCTAAGAGCAAAACTGGGTTGCTTCTCCATCACAAAGAGATGGCCCTGGAGCAAAGAGTAAATCTAGGAGGCAACTGGGACAAGTTAGAGGGGGATATTCTACAGGAAACAGCTGCTCAACCTGTGCTCACTTTAAGGGCAGGTGGAGTCAAGCAGAACAGTTTTTTCAGCTGCAAACTTGATTTGGAAATGTGACTTGTGAGCCACATGGGAGTTGTAGTTCAGATGCTTTATGCTCCCCATTCTCCTCTATAGGCAAGGCTCTCTAATCAGACTACATCTCCCATGATGCACTATGGCCACCCATCAGGATAAGGGACCATGTCTGCATCATGGGACTTGCTGGCTGTGTTGCACCATGGGAGGTGTAGTCCAGCTGAGGTGATTTCCCCTAAATGGAGATTAGGACTGGAAGAAACTGAACTACAGCTCCCAGGAAGCAAGAATCGGAGCTGGGTTACAACAGTTTGGGGGCATGTTGGTTTTGCGATGACAAGTTGAACCTTTCGGCTCCTTGTCACACCAAACATCCATTAGCACAGTGGTTCCCAAACTTTTCAGCATCACGCCCCCATTTTGATTTTTGGGAAACCCTCATGCCCCTCCCCCCCTCCAAAAATAGCAGCAACACTTGTTGAGGGGGAAAAAAAAAGAACTGACCGGGGACAAGAAACAAAAATAGCAGCAAAACTTGGGGGAGGAGGGGAGATTAATGGGGGGGCTGGGTCGCCTCGCGCCCCCCCTGGAATTTCTTCACACCCCTCCAGGGGGGCACGCCCCCCAGTTTGGGAACCCATGCATTAGCGGACCCCCCCTTTTTCTATCCAAATTCAACATCTTCCACGCCGCAGGCTCCGTCACCACAGATCCCCGTGCCAAGGTCTCCTGCGGCCACCTCTGGGGTGCAACATGGCAACCAGGAACGCTCCCTCACTAAGTTCCACGAGTGGGAGAACACAGCATTCAAAACTCATCTGGACGGTCGCCCCCCAAAATCACTCTCCCGCTGGACCAGACGGAATCCAGATATTTACGTTGTTGAATCAAAGCTGAAAGCCTCGCTCAATACCCCTGACTCCGGGGGCTGGGATTTTTAGAAAACCAGAGACCGTTGCGAGACTCGGAGTAAAACGGTTTGCGTGCGCATTGCTGGGAATAACGTCTCCTTCTGATCTCCATTTGGATTTCCAGACACATGCTAGCATGTGACCTCAGAGGAGAGGCTGAAAGAATTGGGCTTGTTTAGTTTGGAACAGAGAAAACGGAGAGGGGACAGGATAGACGTTTCCAAGCATCTAAAAGGGTGTCACAAGGAGGAGGGAGAAAAATGGTTCTCTTTGGATAGGACAAGAAGCAATGGGCTTAAACTGCAGCAAGGGAGGCTGAGGTTGGACATTAGGAAAAACTTCCTACCTGTCAGGGTGGTGAAACACTGGACTAAATTTTC